GGATCCTTGACTCAAAAATTACAGGTTTTTCCTGAATTTAATATTCATTTACAGAATATTTACGGGATATTTACAGAMTGTGCATAAAATTTACAAAGTGTGTAAAAGTGCGCTAATCGTGTAAATTGGATTTACAGTAAATTTACAGTATATTTACAGAGTATTTACAAACTTAGTAAACTATTCAACTTTTCCAGTGTTATTGATTAATATAGAATCAGTCGCACGAATATACAGTTAATTAATTACAAATAATAATATGTAACATTTCTTATTGAGTTAAATTTCAAAAAAAAAAAAACGCCGTATAAAATAGTCCGAATAAATACAACTTCGTTGATAGAATCTCAAATCTTCACAACTCTATCACCTCAAAATTCATTTTTTTTTTTGTTTAGATTTTATTTGACTAGATGAAACCGTTATTTTAGTTCAGTTTTTGAAGATTGACTATYAATTATTACTTAAATCTGTTTAAGGAACCATTACACAAACGAAGTCGTCTTGAATGTGAAACGTGTGGAAAATCWTTCTCAAGAAAAGATGCCTTGAAACGGCACGAGAAGGTTCATCAAAAAGAGAAAGATCATCAATGCGGACAATGCGGGAAGAAMTTCAGCCGTCGGGACTACTTAAAAAAAGCATCAGAAAGTTCACGAGAAACATAGTGTTGAGCGTGAGTATAAATGTTTGACCTGCGGGAACGTTTAGTTCAGTTGGGCAATTCAAATCCCACCAGAAGTCAGTCCACTCTTTGGCCAAACAAACGCGTCAAGTTGAGAAACGAAAGCGAAGCGAAGTAGACGATCAATCAAGTAAGTATACTTTTYACGTTTATACCGGACAGTTGTAGCATTGAACAATCAATTTGCCATTCAAAATTCATGCATTAAATGTATTWAAAAAAATCTTAATGCATGGATAAATCCTCTTGAATGACTTGATTAATTTTTGCTGTTTGYTTTCTTTTCTTCAGAAAAACGTGATTCCAAAACGACCGAGAACTAGTGTCAACGAAGGAGCCAGCACAAGTTGGCAGTCTGATCCTATAGTCATGCCACCCAATGTTATTATCCCCAACGGCGACCAGCAAATCCACATTATAAGTCAACACTGGAGTGAGATTCATACCAGACAGAGTCGCAGAAATAGGTTACAGGATTGGTATAACTTTAGGCTGGAATCCTACGACCGCCAAGTATTCCATCAATACCTCCAACAGATATTAGCTGATCAAACCACTGTATTCTGGTTGAACATGTCCTTTGGGTTTGTTCTGCGTAACACCGAGACCGACGACCTTCAGTATTACCATGCATCCCATAACAAACATCGCGTGTTTGATAATCCCTTCCTTATCGGTAACGTGAGAGACATTGACAGAGTAGCAGATACCATCCATGAACTCGATATTGCAGAATGGGTCAAGCAACAGCGCCCTAACAGCAAATGGATGGTTGATGTGATTACCAATGTGACCTTCTTTGTATCCAAGATCCGTGATCATCCCATCGGTAGATCTGGTCTTCTTCCAGAGTACATTATGAACAACAGAGGCTTAATCGCACTGGATTGTAAAGATAAAACTGGTGAACCATACGATGATAATCTTTGCTTCTTTCGATGCCTCGCCCTGCATAATGGTAGCCGTGTCAGGAGTTTAGAAAGAGATATTAAAACCTTATTTGAGTGGTGAGTTATT